TCACCATCACCAAGTAGAAAACTGGGAGGATTCTTTTTCAGACTGTTAACAAAAAATAAATCTTTCTATTGAACCATTTGAATACCTGACTTATTTTCTGTGTTGATCCGATAGACCAAGTAACTCGGTGGAAGAGAGTTAAAATTGTTTTTCTCTGTTTTTCATGTTATGGAAACCAGAGAGTAAGTATGCCTTGTTATAATAGTGAGTTTACAACAGTTAAACACACTCACAAATTGGAAGCTGCTCAGACAGAGTCATTATCTCCAAAAAAAGAAAAAGTTGTTCAGCTTTAAGGCCCAGGATAAATTAACTGGAGTGAAATAATTTATTTTCCAAATTCCAGGCAGAAACAGCTTGACACTTTTGAAACAGGGGTTATGTAGGTTAACAGTGTTTTTGTGTCTTCCTCATTTCCTGTTTTATCATAATGAACCTCAGCTGTTGCATTGCTCCAAAGTATAAAAGTTTGAGTGTGAACAAATTATATTTTCTTTGCAGGACATGTGACTATGCTGGTGTTTCTTCACAAGCAGAATGAACTTGTTCTGACTGTTTTCGTCACTCCCATTATACCAGGGAACAGAAAAACATTTATAAAAGAGGAACAGTAAATACTGAACCCAGGAACACTGCATTCATTCTAATTTTACACATTGTGCTAGTTGCAGTGTTGCTGATGTCTTCTCTCTTTCACACGTTGAAGTGCTGTATTATTCTCACCATACTTCTAGACAAAATTTCTATGTTTTGTTGATATACTTTTTTACTGGAGTATAGTTGATATACAATGTTATATTGGTTTCAAGTATACAGCTTAGTGATTCAGTAGTTACATACATTATTAAATCCTCATACCAACTACTAGTGCAGTCACTGTCAACATAGAAAGATGTTATAGAACTACTGACTATATTCTCTATGGTGTATTTTCATCCCTGTAACTGATTTATGTTATGATTGAGGTTTTGTGGCTCTTTATCCCCTTCACCTATTTCTCTCACTCACCCCAACTCCTCCCCCACAGTAACTACTAGTAACTTCTCAGTGTCTAGGAGGCCACTGCTGTTTTGTTCACTTTGTTTTTAGATTCTACATATAAGTGAAATCATATGGTATTTGTCTTTTCTGCCTGCCTTATTTCTCTGAGCATAATACCTACTGAGAGCACATACATTCACTTGGCCATCAATTTTGATTTACCAATTGTACCATTATGCAAATGAGCTTTTTGGCTTGCTTTGACCAAATACAGTAATAGAAGTGATCCTTAAAATAGAACCATTGCTAGACACCAGTGATTTCCAGCTGATTTTATGACACTATAAGAACATGCTCAATTACAACAAGAAGGTAACAAAATTATTTTAAATAAATCATTTAAATTCACTTATATTTTATAAAAAATAAATGTTTGTTGGGGCACCTTTGATGGATATTGCCTTGGGTCAAACATTTGTTACTCTGATAGGATTTAGTGGAAATCAACAATGAAAACTGTTCCAATCTAATGAAATTGGTGTTTCAAACTTACAACTTAATAAAATAAATGTTCTGCTTCTACATATAAGACATCTTACAAGGGAGAACATACAGATACATATCAGTGCAAATTACAAGAGGAAAGCAAAATGCAAGAAGTATATAGTAACTAATGGCAGTTGCATGTTCTTACAGAAACAAATGCAGCATTAGTCCTAGTAACGAACACTAGAAACAACCAAAATACCCGGGGACATTAGACGGAATAAAGTGTGGTATATTCATATGATAGAATACAACATAGCAATGGGAATTAAAAAGTACTGCTACACACAGCAAAACAAAGAAAGCCCCTCACCCAACACACACACTTTAGGATTCCATTCATAAAAATTCAAAATCAAGCAAATTAATATATGCTGTTAGAATTCTTGCTAATAGTTACCTCTGGGAAGAAGGGTGGGAAGTAGTGATTTGGAAGAGGCATAAGGAGACTTCTTAAATGCTGCTAATGGTCTGTATCTTGATCTGTGCAGTGGTTACATAAGAATGTTTGCTTTGTGAAAAGACACTGTGCTGCATGCTTATGGTTTGTGCTTTTTTCTGCATGCATGTCATCCTTCATTTAAAAGTTTCTTTTATGGGAAGAAGGAGTAGGGCTCCATCATGTCCCTCCCAGTTGCACCAGACTGAGAAAGCGTTCGTCATTTCCCGCCCCTGCCTGGCTTTAACACAGCCTTACTTGAAAGTGGGCATCATGCAGACAGAGGCTGCTCCAGCAGCAGCCCTCTAGTTCTGACACAAGAAGTGGGAATCGGGTCTCTCCCAACACACTCCATTCTCTTCCACCCCATCCCTCAGGCAACTGTGGGACACTGATGCAGCAAGAGCTAAAGCAAGGAGGGACCCTCAGAAATCTAAAACGCTGACAGAAGAGAACCTTCCTTTCTGATTGCACATGTGATGTCAAGAGGTTGGGGCAAACCACCATTGCTTTGTCCTCTCACCACTTGGCCTTAGACACAGGCGAAGTCACATAAGTACAGTGCAGAGTGGGTACTTACAGCCCAGCTTTCGGGCCAAAGGATGAAAAAAGACGAGTCACTGAAGAACTGAAAAGTGCTGGGGAGGTCACAGAGGGACAAGCTTGGGAAAACGATCCCATAAAATTGTTTATGAACTGCTGGGCTCACCCTGGGTATATGAGTCTTTCACTAAACAGCATACAATAGACATCGAAAAACCCAACTGTGGGGTAGATCGCTGCCCTGATCTCATAGGTCACTGGGTAGTGCACACATAGGATAGATCTGAAAGGCACTGAAAAAGCTTTGGAAATGGTGCCAATACTGCAATCACAGCCTACAGAAAACTACTCAAAATTTGCAGTCTAAACCCAATTATATTGACTCCTGCTAAAAGAAAAATATCAACATTTTCTGTAGGACTTCAAATAAGACCCAAAGTCTTAGAACATAATATTCTAAGTGTTCAGGATGCAGTAAAAAATTACTCTGCATATGAAGAACAAAGAAAATCTCATTTTGTGTGAGAAAAAACAAATGGCACAAATGTTGAGGTTACCCAACAATGTCTTTAAGCCAGCTTTTATAAAAATTCTCCAAAAATGGTGAACACCCTTGAAATGAATGGAAAGCTAGAAAGCCTCAACAAAGAAAAAGAAAAACAGGAAAAAGTAACTGGAAATTCTTATTTTGAGAATTGCAATAACTGAAATAAAAAATATCACTGGATAGGCTCAATAGCAGAATGGAGATGACCAAGGAAAGAGTCAATGAACTTGAAAAACAAACCAATAGTAATTATCTAGTCTGAAGAATAGAAAAGATTTTGGGGGAAATGAACAGAACCTCTGGGACTCATGGGAAAATACCAAAAGATCTAATGTTCATATCACAATAGTCTTGGAAGAAGAGAATGTTGTATAAAAATATTTATTTGAAGAAATATTTGTTTAAACTTCCCAAATATAATATATATATATACATATATACTATAAACACTTTTCAAATATTAAAGAACAGAAAACAATAAAGTCAAAAACAAGAAAACAGAAAAATTAGTGAAACGAAAAGATAGTTCTTTATATTCAGAATATATAAGAATTCTCAAAACTCAATAGTAAGGAAACAACCCAACTTAAAATGGAGAAACCACTTGAACAGACACTTCACCAAAAAGGATATGTATGGATGGCAAATAAGCTCATGAAAAGATGTCCAATATCATTAACCATTAGAAAAACACAAATCAAAATGAGCTATCACTATACATCTATTAAAATGGCTAAAATAATTTTTAACTTTTTTTAATTGAAACTTTTAATAAGATAATCATAGATTCACATGCAGTTGTAAGAAATAATTCAGAGACATCCCTTATACTTCGTTCAGTTTCCCTCAATGGTAATGGTTTGAAAAACTATTTTTTTAATTTAAAGTATCACTGATATACAATCTTATGGAGGTTTCACATGAACAACATTGTGGTTTCAACATTCACCTGTATTACCAAGTCCTCACTGCCCCCACCCATTGCAGTCACTGTCTATCAGCGTAGCAAGATGCTATAGAATCATTACTTGACTTTTTCGTGTTGTACTGAAAATGGCTATATTTCTAAAAACCAAAACTAACAATACCAAGTGTAAGCAGGGATGTAGAACAACTGAAACTCCTACACACCGCAAAATTGAACAGTCATTTCAGAAACTCTTTGCTTGTTTGTTTGTTTGACAAAGTTAAACATAACCTTACCATATAACCCAGTAATCCTATTCCTAGACATTTATCCAAGAGAAATGGAAAGTTATGTTCATACAAAACCTGTATACATGTATTTATAGTAGCTCTATCCACGATTGACAAAAACTGGACACAACCCAAATATCCTTCAAGGTGTGAATGGATAAATAAATGGTGATATAGCCAAGTAATAAAATATTCAAAATTAAAATGAATGGACTATTGATACAGGCAACAATTTGGATGAATGGACTATTGATGCATCCAACAATTTGGATGAATCTCAAAAGCATTCTACTGAGTGAAAGAAGTCAATTTCAAAAGGTTACATACTCTATCATTCCATTTATATAACAATCTCAAGAAGACAAAACTACAGTGATAGAGAACAGATCAGTGATCACCAGTGGGTGAGGGTGGGGAAACTTGTAATGATAATGAAACGGCACACAGAAGTTTTTTCTGAGGCGATGGAACTGTTCTGTATCCTGATTATGGTGGTGGTTACACAAGACTATCTGGTGGTTACACAAGACTATCCATGTATTAAAATGCATAGAATTCATAAACTCATAGAACTTTTAATGACCAAAAGAAGTGGTCAATTTTGTTATGTGCTAATGTCAAAAATAAAATTGATTTAAGTAAAGAAATAATTGTATAAGTTTGTCCCCAGAAAAGATTTGCATATCTAGATTACATCAAAGACTAGTTTGACCACCGTGAAAACCGCAAAGACAGTGATATACTCACCACTGCTTGCTCCTCTACAGTTTCCATTACTAGAATCCATAGGAAAATCTGGAAGGTGATAGAATAAAGTAAGCTTCATTAGTATTTCAAGCATTCACATACAAAAATCTAATTCAGTCACAAGTTTGATTTGGTTAAGAACACAGGTGTCTTAAGAAGTGGATTCTTCTTAGTGCCATGATGTAGGCACTCTATCATTTATAGGTCAAAGAAGGGCAAGATCTATTTTTTTGTGTGATTCAAAGGTGATATACCCTTTGAATGCTCAACTATGCATAAAACTTCAGGACTTAATAAAGCTTTGAGTTTCACAAATTTTGTGAATTAGGACCATCCTATCACAATAATGCCCATGCACATACTAGGCACTCACTCAACATCAAGAGCCACCTCTTGATGACTTAAAGAACCAAACACCCCTCTTCAATAAACAGATGAATTACAGTTTGCTGGCATACATTTAAATGATTAGTGCCTAAGAAAAACATGCAGAGAGCATTCTCACGCTCTTTGTTAATTGTACACTAAACAGCTCTTCAGCAGAAAGGAAGCCTACCATCCAGGGACTACTCAAGCCAGTGCAATTAATTGTTGTGATAATAATTAGAAATTGCCATTGACTCTTTTCATGATCCCATAATCCCAGAAAATAGTAATGATAAATGATGATAAATGGTAATGAATATGGTAATTCTATAAAGTTCTTCGGTATTCTAGGTAAGAAAGCAGCCTCTAATGAATAACATTGAATGCCTCAGTAAAGCACCATGCTGAGAGATGGGATGCTCAGCTCTATATTCTTGACACTTCAACTCAGTCCATACGAGTTCACTTTGGGGCCTGCTGAGACTGAGGAACTCAGGGTTAGACATGCAAATCTGGAATGCATGTTCTCTGCTATCTCAAAAGCACAGTGAAGTAGTTATCTCTCATCTCTTGGAATCCCTTGTCCAAGGCTGTCTTTTATTCTCTTAAGCTATAAGTAAATAGGCTTTTGAAATATAATGGAAGAACTTGATCCTTTAACTGCAATCTGATGGTCAAAAGACACAGATTCTCGCAATTTAGGAATCACTTCTTTCTTAATAAGAAAGGAAGTGTAGTGTACAATTGGTTCTGGTGTGAATTTTCTTTCTCCTAATAGCTTATGGTCTTGGACAAGCCACTTAACTTCTCTGTATACCTCAGCTTCCTTTTCTGCAAGCTGGGAATAGTAGTACCTAAATAAATTAATATGCATAACACACTGAAAGTAGCACTGAGATGCATTAAGTATTACTAGTTCTTAGTCTGCCGCTGCTAATGTTCCTCTCCTCTAGATGACCCATCCTCTTCCCAGTGATGTTGTTAAATATTTATGTTGCGCTTTACCATTTATCAATCACTTCAAATTAATATTTTTTTATTCTTTATGATCCTGAATGTCAACTGATTTGCTTAAGGTACAACATAATGGCACCCCTGGAATTCCAGGTAAGGGCTTAACACAAAAAATGGTTTTCTTTTAAGTGGAGGAAATATATCCAGTTCTTAATTATTCAAAACTATTTGTCTATAGGCTCTTGGTCTCCTGCCTCTTACACCTAAAAGACATTTGTCTCTTACAGCCCAATTATAATTTAGTCAATTTTGCTATTTATAGAAACAATTATTTGGAAATTGGGTGGAAATGAAATTTTAAAAAGAATTAAAAACATTTGGGGACTACCTGAGACTCTATTACCACTGATAATTGGGTTCATTATCAATTAAATACCATAATACTCTGAGACACTTTTCCCTACCCCATCCAGAATGCCTTTCAATATTTTACAAGGAGGATCTTTAGAATCATGTTTTCTCTCTAGTCTTAATCTAAAATTTCCATTTCTTCTTTCCATTCCACTTTCTTCCTATCACACTAAATAATTCTTCCTTCTTGGTACTTGGCCCCTCAAATATTTGTAGACCAGAGCTAAAGAAAAGGCTGCCTGTTCCTCAGAGTGGGGAAATGATTAAACAGCAGCTCATGCATGTGAAAGTTGGCGCAGCTCAGCCAGCAGGAGACGGCCTGGAGACATGTGCTGAGCAAGGGCTGGGGGGGCACGTTAACACTGCCTCGGAAACCAGCAATAACTGGGGATTGATTATAAAGCCTCTGGCTTGGCAAACCGTGGGTGTTGCATACATAGCTGTTAAGTGTCATACCATAAATTATCTTAAATACTTGATTTCTACATTTCTGAGAAAAACTATTTGTAACGAGCAGTCATCCATCAGACTCATTGTTTCTTCCTGTTGCCCCCAAAGGGATCTGATCTTGAGCCCCAGGTCCAGGTCAGTTTGTGTAAAATGAAATATTGAGGTTATATATTCTGAAGAAATAAGATGTGCTCCTCCAGTTAGGTCCCAGTGAGAAGCTTGCTTTCCAGAGTTGAAATGGTAAAAGAGTTCTAGGCTATGTCTGCACTGACCAATATACCATTTCAAAAAACAAACGAAAAGGAAAATGTCAATTTGATACAATGATAATAATAGTAAAATAGTGACAGCAAGAATTTGTTAAGGGCTGTGTGCCAAGGATTATATATGCTGCTTAATTTTACCTTCACCATATATAGGCAATATTGTCCCCATGTTACAGATCAGAAAACTGAATCAGAAAGGTTATATAATTTCCCTTTAATAACAACTGATTGGAGAACCGAGACTCGACACCTGGTCTGCCTGACTCCTAGCCCATACGCTGCACTCACCACATGGTATTAACGATTTGACTAAATGTCTTATCTGATTGGCTGAGTAATTAAATTGAACTGAACTCTCAGATAAAACAGACAAAGGAGTTGTGCATGTGGCCACAACTCTATAGTAAATATAAAATGAAATGTGGAAAAGAATAAGTTTAATGGAAATATATTACTGATGGTCAGAACACGACATTTTCTTTATAAATGTATGTTTGCTATTAGTATTTTGAAAGCAAAAAGCAGTCTGAAGCAATACTCCATTGCAATAAGACTTCGCTTTGTAAAATGTCCTAAACTTGTTTGTGGACTCATAATGTACTAATGTGTGTACAAAGCCATGGGAATGGTAGGATTTGAAAATCCTGTTGGCATTGAAGGAATGAAAGCTTGTCTCATTTTTATATTCAGCTGGATAGATTTCTAGTCATAAGGCACAGGGACTCTGTTTATACCTCAAGGAAGGAAAAAACCCTGCTTCATGACCTATCATATCCTAATAAACCAAGGAGTGTGTTGCATCGTAAATTAAACCAGCCACATTGTGGTATTTCCTAAGTAATTCCAGGTGCCTAACGGTTTGACCCAGGATAGGGAATGTAATTTTCAGCAAGCTGGCCTTGAAAGCCAGGGGACCTTCAGGCTAGAATCCACCCTTCCATTCTCCATCCCCTCCTCCCATTGAGCTCCCTCCTGTTATCCCAGTCTCTGACCCACTGAAGGATATAGCAAAAGGAGGTGGGGAAGGGAGACCATCATTAAAATATGGTTCCAAGTGCATGCACCCCTACTTATTTTTCTAGCAAGGATGCTGCCAGCAAAGCAGATATTATGATGTTCCAAAATAGCTCAGAAATCAGGTCCCATGAACTGACAACTTATTTCCATGCAAGCCCTATTTGAGTGCTTCAATGAGGCAACTGTTCTGTTTGGGCCATGAAGATAGGTAACTCGGGGACACGTAAGGAAACTCCTTGCCATCTGTACTGACTATGGCTTTTAAGAACAGTTAACTTTGCCAAACCTCTCCCATTTGATGGCCACCTCTAAGAGAGGTTTCAGAGCAAGTCATCTTAAAGGGGAGGAATGCATTTCAGCATGACCCATAGCCACCTCCTTCCTAGCTCTTGGCCTGACAGGAGCACCGGCATTTAATGGACCCTAAGTGCCCAGCAGACCAGTGTCTTGCAGAGTCTGCACAGCCTATGACATTAAGGAGTACAAAGGTTCAAGAGTGCCCTCTGGCCTTCAGATTAATAGGAATAAGTTTCTTTCCAAATATTTTACACCACTAATTCTTGGTTCTTGACAAAAGTCATGGTATTTTCAGAGAATGAAAAACTAAGTGAGGGGACCATCAAAAAGCTCTTGAAATCTTTCTGTTCAGTTCTGATTTTGCAGCTATTTGTACTTTTCCCTCCCTACTCTCTTTATGGGAAGTGGGTCAGTGTGCACAGAAAGCAGCTCCCTGACAACCAGGAGCTGTTACCTAGGAGTGGACTAAGGAGATGAGTTTGGGCTGAGCAAGGGGAGAAGGAAAGAAGTTGATGCCCAAGAAATCCATGGAGAAGAAGATAACTGAGCCTCACATCTAAGAGCAGAGTGGATCTGCAGAGGGTATGAAATAAGACCACTCGTACAAAAATTAGGTTTGTTTTTAAAGTATATGAAGGGTGAAGTTTGAGCTTTAGGTTAGTTGGTAGGAGTGACATTGAGTTGGAATTAAATAGATTAAGTTCAGTTGGGGTCTTGAGAGTTATGACTGTCATAAGTAGACAAAACACTAGTGAGAAAAACAAACGTGTGACTGAGTCCATTAAATGTAGAGCTGCAATATAATTTTAAAGTGGGAAAAAAAAGAAACGAATGTGTGGTAGATGCATACACAGAGAAAGGGCAAGAAACAGGATATTAAAGACATTACTTATAGAGCATACGAGTGGGATAAGGGGTTAGATTAAAAATAACATTCCATGAGGGTATGATGATAACACAGCGTAAATGTAATTCCTTTCATCCATATGTCATTTAGAAAGTGGCTTGAAGGCATTTGGGAATGTGAACGGAGCCCAGTGATTTCACTCTGCCAGCTCTGTGGCTGGGAGCAAGTCACAGCAGCTAATTAGCAGTGCATAGCAATGTTTTAGAGCTGTTTCAGGCTCGAATGGGAGAACAGTTTATCTCATTGAAAGGAGGGGGAAATTTAAGGTGAAGGTAATTGCTCAAATTGGATTTTGAGCAAACACATACTATTAACATCCGGGGGTTGGAGTAAGGTTACTGACATTGTCTTGGCATTTTTAATGATCCGAAGAAAAACCATGCTTCAGTGCTTCAGTTTTCTATTTTCACGGCATAGTCTTGACAAACAGCTAAAACACTATCAGTATAGAAACTGATCACTGAGAATACAAGAGACTCAGGGAAGAAAGCTGACTGGTTGTAAACCAACTAAGAAAGGAAGAAAAGAGCATCACTATACAAAGCCATGGCTCCTTCCACGTGTAAAGAGTGGGAAGTGAAGGCTGAGTGTTCAGTAGGAGTCGGGGGGAGTGGAATGAAGCCGGCGCTTCAGTAAGACAGATCAGCTATCGGAACAGATCACTTTGGGAGGATGAGGAGGTGAGAGGGGAAAAGGAACAGTGCTTGGCTGAGGACTGATTAGGAGAGGCGATCTGAGGGCACAGGCAGAATTCAGGAGTAAAGGAGAGCGGCAAGGAGTCCGAGGAGTGAGGGGCTGGAGGTCAGGGGAAGAGCTTGGGCAGCGTCGGCACTCACCCGCTCCGTCCGCGGTGACGATGGCCTCGGGAGAGATGCACACGCCGCGGTCATAAACAGGCAGCTCCTCGCAGGCCAGGCTCTCGGGCCACGCGTGGCGGTACTTGATGAGGATGGGCTCACAGCCCTGCCGGGCTCGCTCGCACACAGACTTGCAGGGCTTGATGGGCTCATGCTGGAAGTCAATGGTGCAGATGGGCGCATACATAGCGCAGAGGAAGAAGAGCAGATCGGGGCTGCAGTGGGTGCCCAGCAGCCCTTCGAACTGCTCGATGGCCAGGATGGCGTTGGCCTGGGTGCTGTGGTGCAGGTGATTGGGCATCTTGGTCATGTTCCAGGGCAGGGACTTGCACAGCGGGATGCGGACGGGCTCACAGGCTGCAGCCCCGACTCCGGGCGCCCGGAGCAGGCAGAGCGCAGCCAGGGCGAGCAGCACCATCCGTCCCGGGCTGCCGCAGACCATGGTCCCGGCAGGACGGGGCAGGATGGGGCAGCGAGCAGCAGCGCCGAGGACGCGACAGGCCCGCAGCGCCGTCTCTCCTCCGCCCGGCAAGTGAACACAATGATCTGGGAGCTTCTCCTCCCCCGGCAATCTCACAGCTTCCTTGGATCAAATTCCCCCAATGGGGTCCCACGAGCTCCAGCCGCCGCCCCCGCCGCTCTGGCTGCTCGTTCTCGGCGTCTAAGCCTTCTGGGGCAGCGGCATCTATTTATTCCTCGCTCCCTCTGGCAGAAACATCGGGCTTCACAGATCATTCAGATGAGGGGAAAACAAGAGGAAGCGAGCGAGAAATAAAAACAAAGTCGAATTCAGCGGAGGTAGTTGCAGCTCCGGAGAGTCACGTCCCCGGTTTACAAAAAGGTGCTGAAAGAAGCATGAAATCCTCCTGCCGGGGCTCGGGGAGGGGGCATGCGGGGCAGGAAGGAGGCGAAGACTCCCAGCGGAGGAGGTGCAGTAAAATGTTCAAGTCTTGGAGGTTAATCCAAGGGATCCAATTCTTGATGTGAGCAGCCGGCTGCAGCCACCGCCGCTGGCAGGAGGAACCTCGACGGGAGGTCTGCGCCTCCGACCGCCGGCTTTTCCCTTTGCCACTTCCCGGCCAGAGAGGCAGCCCCGCCCCGGTGCAGTCCCTGCCCTCCCACGCCGGCTCCTCTTCCCGCGAAGGCAGTGGGGGGTCGGGGGTAGAAGGTCTGTGGGCTGCAGACGGAGGGGAGGGAAGCCTTGAGACGCAGGGAAGCTGTCGGCCCAAGACAGCGCTGAGATCTGCAGCTCCTTCCCGACCCCACGCTGGGGCGCCGCCGGCTCCTCACTGGGGAGCCCACCCCTGTTCCCCACTCGGAGCCCAACCAAGCCCCTCGCTCCCTGGAGATCGCTCTGTAAGCAACTGACAGCGTTACCTCTGTGATCACCAGCTCTGCAGAAGGTCAGACCTGAGGAGGAAAGACTAAGCAACGTCACTTTGAGTGTTCAAGATGCAGAAAACACGGACCCCTGTGAGCTGTGGGGGAGACTTACCAACCCAGAGCTCCCGACTACAGAAGTCTGCATTATGAATGATTAGGTGCCAGGGGTTGGGGGGGTTGGGGGGGATCACCTTTCATAAAAAGAGATACATTATGCATATCTCTTGTACATAATTACAAGTAGGTCACCAGAAACAAGAAATAATTTGGGTTTTTTTCTTCTTCTTTTAGTTTTTTTCTCTGCCCTGCAGAATTAGAACTTTTGCGTTTTGCTTTTGAAGAGTGAAAACTAACTGCTTTAAAGAGTTGGACTTTTTTTTCTCTGATTTAACTCACTGAAATAAACTGTCTCTTCCTATTTAACTCTTCTCACTAACAACTTCACCTAACGCTTGAGACAAATGTGTAGGAAACTTACACCACACAGGTAATGACGATGATGATGATAACAGTAGAGCTCCTTCCATCCAAAAGAGTTCAATCTAGAGAGGAAAACAGAAAACTGATCCCCTCTGGTAGGCTTCTTCCACTAATGAGCTGCCTCCTTTCCTTCCCCCAACTACCCTTTCAGGGCAGATTGTAAATGGAACGACCTGTGACGCCCTCCACCCTTCCCTTTCACTGAGCAAAAGGATAGCAGAATGTCAGAAAACACAGCCTTCATTGAGAAGAGAAGGAAACAAACCTTAAAACAAAACATGAAGTCACCTTTGCTCTGTTTCATTGAAATACTTCACTGCTTTAATATAAGCCACTTCTTACAGTCAACCAGAAGCAGAAAAGATGCCCCCACTTCAGAGCATACACTGAGATGTCGGTTTCTCTTCCAGTCTTGACTTGACAGCACTTATAAAATGTCAGTGTTAACTTGAGTCTATGGAATTTAATCTCAAAAATGACCATAATCAGGAAATTTTTATGACTACAGAAATATTTTTCAGAAAGAAGTGTGTTCCATTTAGAAGAAAAATAAAAAGATGGTAGATAGGGAATCAGTTAGTATACAAACTTTCACTGGTCTTCAATTATTTAATGTCATTTAAGAAAACAAAGCTAAAAATTACATAAATAAATGAGATGAAAAATAATTTAGCAAGTAACTTAGGGGGAAAAAAACCTAAAACAGTCAATATTAGAGCATTTGGGAGCTAATCTGTGTGAAGGAAATGGAACTGGGATTTTAAATAAGTTGGAAGAGGTGAAAGGTAGGTATAATAGGGTTTGCTGAATACGTTTTCCTGTTCATCTTAAATCTTACAGTGTAAGCAGAAATGAGCTAATTGTTTTAATGGTTCTACAGCTATCTGAAAAAAAGTCTACATTCCTTTCCCAGCACAAAAGTCACTTACCCCCTTTGTCTAACATAACCCCTCAACTCTTCTCTAATCCAAATTTGTCTTTATCAAAACCCAGTATAAATTTCACTGCCTCCCAGAAGCCTTTTTGAGTACCTTCCTGTTTCTGTTCATTTTCCTAGTTAGTTTCCCTTGAACATTGTTCACTTTCACAAATTATTCTTTAGCAACTGCCAATTCATTGCTTAAATTTCTTTCCATCCATCAATAGATGAATGGATAAAGAAGCGATACATATATGCAATGGAATATTATTCAGCCTTAAAGAAAGAAAGAAATCCTGACATTTGCAACAACATGGATGGACCTAGAGGGTATTATTATTAGTGAAATAAGCCAGGAGGAGAATGACAAATACCATATGATTTCACTTATGTGGGGAATCTAAAAAACAAAACAAAATGAAAAAAACAGCAGTAGACTTACAGACACGGAGAAGTGACTGGTGGTTACCATAGCGGAGGGGTTCGAATGGGTGAGGAGGATAAAGAGGCACAAAATCTTAATCATAATAAAGTTGGTCACAGGCATGGAAATGCAGCATGGAGAATATAGTCAATGGTTCTGTAATATCTTTCCACGTTGACAGATAGTAACTGCACTAGTTGGGGTAAGGATATAATAATGTGTGTAACTGCTGAATCAATGTGCTATATACTTGAAAACCAATATAATATTGTATGTCAAGTATACTTCAATTAAAAAAGAAAAAAATTTTCTTCATTATTTCATCCGTGTTCTCTGCCTTCTTAAATAACATGTCTGATTTTTTTAAAGAAGAGACTTAATCTTCAGTTTCTTTTGAAATTGGCATTTGAGTAATTTCAACTCATGGAATTTGGAATGCAATATTTTAAATAGTAAAACACACATCTTAGAAGTAAAACACAAGTTGAGTAAATAGTGATAGGTAAGATTTTAATTTTTTCTCTGCCCTGTAGCATTACAACTTTTGAGTTTTGCTTTTTAAGGTTAAGAGTGAAGACTAACTGCTTTAAAGTATTTAGATTTTTTTTTCCTGATTTTACTCACTAAAATAACATGGCACTTACTATTCAACTATTCTCACCAACATTTTCACCTAGCACTTGAGACAAATGTATATAGGGAAATTATACCACACAGGTAATAAAAATGATGATGGTGATAGTAAAACTATTGAAAAGCAGGCTGTATGCTCCTGAGGGAAGTGCAGATTTGATATGGCACACCGCTTCCACTAGCAGATGAGCTGTACTCCCGAAATGCAGGCCTTTACACAGACCCAGACCCACATTTACAGAAAATTAAGGGAAGGGAAGGCTGAGACCTACTGTCCCAGAGGAAGTGGGTTGTAGGTAATTTCTCTTATGTTCTCCCCTGGATTTTATATTTGGGAAAGTTGTCAAAGTGGCAAATGTAAATTATTAGTGTACCAATCCCCTGCTGAAAAATATCTTGGAGACCAGAGTCCTCACAGGGTTCCCTAAGGCACACCAGTGACTCTCAGGGCTGAGGGCACTTCAGAGTCAGCGCTCTGAGAGCTGCAGCATAGCATTCCCCAGCACTTACTTGGGATGATGAGTCAATTCTGGGTGCAACAGCTGCTTAGGGAGCACCCCAGATCCAGTCACAAAGTCTCCTTAGGACGCATCATGGCACTATGGCCATGGCATTTTACCTAACTTCCTGACAAGGGTTCCTATGGTAAGGTCAAGAAAAGATCTTCCTAGAAGTTATCACTGTGAAATAGCTGTCTTTCCAAAATTTAAATTTGACTAATTAAAAACAATTTTGCAATGTCTTTTGTCAATAATTTAAATATTACCATTACTCTTCATCCATTTAAATACACTTTAAACTTTCCCCAGGTTTGTGTTTTCAAGACCTTCCACACTGTCCTGTAGAAAATGTGCTTACATTCCTACAAGCAGTGCTGATATGGGAAGTAACAACTAGCACAGCATGGACACCAGTCAGTCCCATTCCTTACCAACTGAGGATCAGCCCAGGTACCCAGGGAACAAGGGAACTAGTGTTAATTGAGTGCCTACTATCTGCAGGGCACATAAACTGTGCGACACTTCAGAGGAGGTATTAGTTCTCAAGATGGAGAGGCTCAGAGGAATGAAGGGATTTCCCAAAGGTGTCACAGCTAGACAAGGGCCAGTCAGACACAGGCTCGCATCCATGCTCTTTTCACCATTGTAGCAATCAGGCTTCTTTCTGGGCACAAAGGAAGTAGGACCAGGAAGGACCTGGGCTGTCACACTGGTTGTCAGGCAATGGCGCTGCCTTACCAGGAACAGAATGCAAAGCCTCGCTCTTCATATATGAGACATCCCTGCTTCCTACTTACTCTCGCAAGGTGCCCTGTGGACCTAGTAATTCCTGCAATTTCACTTTAGGAAGATCTTACCTTTCCAGTTTCCAAACAATCCAACAGAAGTTTCCCATCTGCTAGCTACTGATTTGCCCTTAGAAAACTCTTCATACGCTATGGAGATTTCATTATTTTATCTCCTCATTATCTTTTCTTACAAAGTATTCAGAAACAAAACTTCATAAGCAGCCTAATAACTAAGCAAATGTCTGATGGGATTTGGGGAGGCGGAGATGACCAGATACCTCTCTCGGTTTCACTCAGAGCCCCAATGAGACTTGACAATAAAAATCAGCTGACTCTCTGACCTTAACGTGCTTTCCTAAAGTAAAATAGCACCATTCCATCCCTACTGCAACAAAATAGACCCAACTTCAAAGAAGTTCCAGAAGGAACCAGAATATCTTAGTAATAGAATGAACCTCAGCAATCTGGCCCTCCCACCTGTTCCCCCTCCCTAACCTCCCAGCCCTCCTTATCTTTATTTGGAAAGAAAAACTCAGAGATAAAATTACTTATGCAAAGTCTTGAAGTCAGTTAATGGCAGTTAGTGGTGCCCATTACCACGTTCTTTTTATTTACACCATCCTTCTCTGTTGGAAGTGTGTTTTTTTACATTTGGAAACACAAATGCCTATATAAAATACATATGACAATTAAGCATAATGGTATTCAGTTTACACA